TCGATACCAGGTTACACGCTTTGAAGTGATGGAAAGTTGGGTTGTTTCGTGTACGATGTCACCAATTTTGAGCTCACAGCCACATTTGTTGCAGCAGTGACATCTTCTGCCTAAACATTCCATCTGTCACGGTTTTTTGTTTGGCAGAGGACAGTAGGTGATGAGAAATATTGTGGAGACGTGAACCGAATTCTAGAGATTGCAGAAGTCATTTTCCACCTTGGCCATTACCTATTTGGCTGAGTTTTATGGAAGGTTCTTAGCGGATTTTCATTTTTGGTTCCGTAGTAGTGATTAGTTGGAGAACTTTTTAATTTTTTTCCTTATAACCCAAGACAAGTAAGTATGAAAACAGTTTTTAAAGCTGTCTTTTCGAAGCCTGTGATTGAAGAGGACTGAGCTTCTTAAACGCTCTCACTCTTTACTTTAACTTGCTTATTTAATTTTTACTAATTCTCGATTTTGTGGATTTTTCGAAAAATTTTCAAGATTGGTCTGAATCAAATCCTTTTTGTTATTGTTGGCACGTTGAATCTAGATTTGTTGATATGTTTTTTTTTTTCAATGAAACTGAGTCTGGTTGTGATTTGAGCCCTTATTCTAGGAATTCGATGGTTCAGATTCTGGTGCGCAGCCGGACGAAGCTGTCAGTTGGGGAAAGGTATGTAAGACGAATAAAGCCTCAGGAAATATGAGGGATTGCGACGATTTGAGCTACAAATTAAAATTGCCTGTTCAGATCAAACCCGCTGCGCATTCTGTGAAAGTATGCGCTGACGCCACATTGGTGTTTCCGTTGCTGGTCGCTGAGACGTTTGCTAAACGAGTTCATAAGAGAGCTCGTAGTCCTCCGTAGACCAGGTTTCAACACTTCTGAGCTTTGGAATGTAGGATTCAGGTTGAGTGCCGAAAAATTATCCACGAGGGTGGTAGTCAGCGATAGTGAAAGCAAATATACCATGTGTTTTGGTTTTGTGGGTCGTTTTCGATCTCTCCAGGTGTGCCCAAGTTAGTGTTATAGGGTTCGGTTTTCATGGGTGGTTCGGGAAACCACCCTCACGTATAAGAACGGATTCCACAGTTTAGCCAAGTTTTAGCTTAGTATGTGCACTCGCCTACTTCCTTTGAGCGAATTTACTATATTATCTTGAACTGAATTCCAAAGCTCAATGGTGTCTACTTTTTGAACAAGTAGTTTTGCATGCTTGATCGCTTGTTATTGTCGTTGTTTTCTTGCATGTTTTTGTTATCACATACGTCAGATAAAAGTGTGTGACTATGATAATGTAGATCCAAAAAGAAATACTTCGTTCTAAATCTGAACAAGGTGTAGACAACTCGGAATCTGCTAGCGACTGGCTTTGACACAAATTGGAGGCAGTATCAAGCAGTGAACATATGGGGTAAGGGATTCTTCTCATTGAAATAAGGGGCTTTCCCTGTTTTGTGCATTCATATGTGCTCGAGGTGCACCAAAAAAGTGTATCAAACGTCCCACTGCCAATTCCTATGTAGCTGGAGCTGTCTGCTATGCCTGGTGCTGGCGATTTCAAAGAATTACATTATGAAACCATCGAGAGTGTTACCTGAGAAGGCGATCAGGTAAGATAGGAACGAAAGCGGCAAGCTAAAAGAGAGTATAAGAGAATGGTAGTCGATCAGTTGTGGGGGGATCAGTTGGGAATGAAAATTGAGAGGAACAAGTAAAAGCAGGGATGAAGATGAAAGAAGAACGAACAGATAATGAGAAAGGCAGAAAAAAGTGGAATGACCACGTGCACCATCCGTCACATCGTTGATCATCGATTTTAAAGCGAGCACCACTATCGTCTCCGTTGGTCGCTGTCGCAAGCCAATATAGCCCAGTGGATTCTCCTCCCTCAGGGGACCCGAGCTAAGCGTTCCTTTCGTTCAGAGCCTTCGTGAGGAAGTATGATCAGTGCGCTGCCAGGCGTCCAGGCATTCGTTTGGCGTTCCGAAGGAATCAGTCAATAATCGCCATGGTCCAAGGGTCATTACGAAACCATGACATAATGGTANGAGAGAGAAAGGGGAAAAAAGTATGGCACTCATTTCGAAGTGAGGACGCTCTCTTTCGCTTCTGTGTTTCATTGACATCTGACACCATCGCATAATAGAAACGAAGCATCTAGAGCTCCTGAGCTTTGAGGTGAGCAGTCGAATCTCTTTCTAAGAGAGTTCCAAGAGCTTCACTCTATTCAGAGCTTACTTGGTGGCTATTTACTCCTCATGACCACGGACGTACTGAAGGGTCCTGCAACCAATCGTCTTGAATCTGAAACGGGGTGGTATGGAGTGACAACTTGATGGTGAGCGAAATTCACCCGTTGCAGTGCAAAATGCGCTAGGAATGTGCTACTTGGATCGGGTGGCCCGCTTATTCGATTTGGACTGACCTGAGCCGGGTATCCAGGCTGGGTTGGTTGGCCCTTGCTGTGAACTGTCAAGGATAAAGTAGTTGGCGTTAATCACTCCCTTTCAAGGATTTCGACCCCCAACCATGCGTGCACGATAGAGCACCTTACCATTACACCACTTCGGCTCCGTTGATCACTCGGTACATTGCTTCATCCTGAATTTATCGTCCTGCGCGTCCTATCGTCGGTCTATATTTTGCCTCATCGCAGGAATGGAAGAATTGGTCTCGACTCCTGTAGTGAATTCCTACTCGCTAGAGCATGACGCTTCAACTTTATTACTGCGTGAGTGGGTTCTGAAGCTATTCGGGATGCAGGAGGAGGGAGCATCTAAAGCGGAGGCGGTTTTTAAAGTCCACCAATTCCTTTTTATCCTTCTACGATTCATCACATGTGAAGTGATCGCACGAAACTCGGAAATACTGGCTGACTTCATTCAAAGCAAATATCGTAAAAATCAGTCATCTCGGGTTTTCTAAGTCGAATGATGGTCATAAAATGAAGTCGCAAGGCGTATCATAGTCATCGGTTATAAAATGGCTCCATATCAGTCGCCCGTTGCCTTTCGAGGATGGCCGACTTCATCTCCGCTTTGGCTCTGGTACTTACGCTACATCGTTTCAGATAACTCTCAACGACCGATGCAGGCGATGCTCTGCTTGTTACTGCTTTTCTACTTGCCCTTGGTGAGCACCAACTGCATTCAGTGTGCATCGCCAACCTTGCTCAATCAATGGCAACTCACAGGCTTACCTAGTCATCCGGCCGGTTTACCATTTACTCCCCTGTCAGTCCGAGTTTTCACTCCTTCAGCTATTTCCCAATCAAACGCCCTGAAGACAATTCAATGTTTAGCTGTAATAGTATCGGTACCGATGATCCTCCTGAAGAAAACATGAAGGTCTCTTCCTGTTCGACCGTATGTTTCGAAATGGTTATTCCATCTGGTCAGTGTTCTTCTAAAGACGTAGCCTGCCCTCTAGAAGTACTAGGTATTGTCGAGTTTTTCAGCAAATCAGTACCATTTTGTGCGAGGATGTCATGATGAGTTCATTGAAACCGGTGTGACGGAACAGCAGGTCACTTCGGACGATAAATGCTTTTATTCAAAAAAAGGCGACCAGCTGATCACAAGTACTGATGGCAAGATACAAGTGCCTGCAGTGAGTACGATTTACGGTTATGGAGTCGAACATCGTTGACTTCGGTGCTCATGATAAGAGCTATGATTTCGAGTAAAATCTGCCAGTTGCACTCGGAGGACTCGTGTGCTCTGAGGGCAGGTCTATTGCATTTCTATTGATTTTCGACTTCCGTACCTCCTGAGACTGGAGAACGTCCGCTGCGCGCATTCATCGAAAGCAGATCGCCCCGCCCACTTCGCGCGCGGCGCAACCACTGAGGTCTCGAGATAACATTACAGTACCACCAAATGCCAGTGGAGCGAATGATTTGCGTTTGTCCGTGTTATCTTCTCGTGAGGTGGACGAAACGCAAATCGTATGCCCCACTGACAACTGCGGCGACCGTCAAGTATCGCGGGCAGACCCGCCGCATGCGACGGCTGCGGCATGACCTGGTTTAGACGGACGCGCGCAACGAAGCGCACCCATTTAAAAAGTCCCCTAACTTTGAAATTAAGCGCACACTTGGCAGCAATTTCATTGAGAGAAAGGGAGTGAGGTCCGAATTTGGGTCATTAATTGAGTGGTCGCTATGACTTTGCTTATTACCTGGATTTTCCTCTTCTGGAGTTTGTCTTGAGAACGCCAACTGGTCTCGGCAAGATTCACGAAGGTCCTATAAATGAAGATTGGTCTTTTCAACAATGAGATATTCTCGGAACCTTTTCGTTGTCGAAGTTCTGAGCCCTCCTGGGGCTGAGAGTAAGTTGGAGAGTCGCTTGTCGCTTCCTGGAAGGTTTGTATTTATCAGTCAGATAAATTTTTCTTGTTGTTTTTTTTTTCAAAAACTAGCCCATACATTGCTTGGAACTATCAAATGTTCCGTCNTCATTCCCTTAGCAGTAGAATTACTATTGATATCCTTCTCCTAACAGTGCTACTTTGGGCATTCAATAAGGCTTGCAGAGCATCCAGTATAGGCAGCATCGGACTTTCTAGGATGCGCCACATATAAATGATGACCGATTAGAGCTCAGAATCGTGTAGGGGCTAAGGTGACAGGCATTTTACCCTGGTATTTAAGATATTATTTAATCCATTAAGATTCATTTTAACTGAAAATTCTGTTGTCAGCAATGGGGGAAAGTGAGTCTGAATGGTCGACGGGGTACTTGGAATATTTCTAATTATTTACATCAGCGATGAGGTAAGTTGGTCTGGAAGGAACAAGCAAAAATTGCCTAGAATATGTGCACTGTGCTGATTGGGACACCCGAAATGACCCCATCTTTCCCAAAAATCTCTCAGTATCTTCATGTTTCTCGATTGATATCGTAAACATAACTTCAACATTGAATAGTAGAAGAAGAGTAAGACTGGTTAGTGAGTGTTCTGATAAGAATCCTTATTAGAACATCATCCCAAAGAGGGACTTGATGATTCCAAAAACTCACCCTTCTTGAATAGAACTCCTAAATTGACCGCCTTTCAGCAAACGCTGGAGCAGGAATTAAGACTCGAACACCGTCGCTATCGGCAGCTAATAGCATTCAATCAGCTCTATCTATTCATCCCGAACCCTGTCCACTGCCGAATCTCTATATACGACACAACATGTGTTATACTACATTGTAAACTGTATCGCCTAAGTTCTCAAACTGATGCAACTGCAAACCAAATTCTGAGCTCCCGCTCTTTAGAGAAATTCTGGAATCCGAACCGGCCCATCAGTAGCATAATACTTTGCTCAAACTCATTTGTTTTTTCAAAAAGCTTCCTCCTGTTTTCCATAGGTTTTTGCGCGTATTTGACTTCAGGTTGCTGCTATCCATTATGCAAAGGTTGGTGGTGAAGAGACAGTTGTTAATGCAAAACTTTCAATGAAAACTCTAGTACTAGAAGCAGCGGTCAATGCTGATCCAACTATTCTGAAGACCCTAACATGCTCAGGTAAGGTGTCTGTTGTTGCTGTTTGTGACCTCTTCCCCTGAAATGGCTGAAATCCCACCGTTTAGATTTACGCCCAGTGAATTGCGTAAAAAGTATGTACTACGATGGTACCGGTGAAGACAACAACAAACAATCCTGCAGTGGTGGTGTCTGTACCAGCATTGAAGGCCATTTAAATGGTAATGAAAATGTTCAAGTTAAATTTTCGTTGAACAGTCACCCACTGCCCAAAATGGGTAATCTCTGCAGGAGGCTACCGAAAGCTTAGGTTCGAGCCCGTGCTGCCTTCTAGGGAGGAAGTGAATCAGTTTTTATAGCATCACCTTACTAAGTGGTTGCAGTTTGAGGGCCGTTCGAGCTTTTTCTCCCATCCATTGAAAGCGAAGTTTATGAAATGCCCCAGGCCAACTGAAGAATGGTATGGTAAAAATTATTCGGGATTTCAGGAAGGAAATATATCGAACGAGGATGTGCACCAATTTCTCCGTACACACAGACTGCATGTGTTACAATGCGTACGAATAGCACGTTCGCAGCAGGACCCGGTGATGGTGGTTCGTTGTCCAGAGAGAAACGTTCGCTGAATGTGATCCTGGATGCCACCGAATGCTTCTGCTCGAGTAGGTTCAATTTTTACATCTTCAGCATTTACATTTTCTACGTCTGTAAGATAGATAGCAAAAATAAAAAGTAAAATCGGCTTAGATCCTTAGCAACCAAGCTTTCCAATCTCTCTGGGCAGGTGAATGATTCTTGTAAGGGATGTAGAAGCTTTAACGCGAGTATCGATCGATAATCGACCCTAATAAGACATTGTATAAACTACATACGTGTTCCAACGCTGCTACAACTCTGAATGGAAGACGAGTGCACGGCGCATACCGAAGTGGGTTCCACCGACTTCGGAAATTTTCACATTCACAACAACTTTCACATACATTATCTGCAGTAACCATGAATCCTATGTTCCTTGATTATGAGGCCTGTATATGAGCGACTCTTTTGACTAATTTTGTTTTACCATAATTTATTATGACGGAATAGAGAATGACTAAGATAATGTGACCTGGAAGCCTATAATTTGGTACTTAACGTTTGTTGCGATGCGAATATTGCTTGCTTACTTCTTGCCCAAACCAGGATTNCCATAATTTATTATGACGGAATAGAGAATGACTAAGATAATGTGACCTGGAAGCCTATAATTTGGTACTTAACGTTTGTTGCGATACAAACATTGCTTGCTTACTTCTTGCCTTAACCAGGATTATACCCAGATACAGATCCCCGCCTTTTCGAACTGCGACCTCGGAGCAGACGTCTCTTAGAATAACTTTCTATCGAAATTAAGAAGATGTTGTTCAAAATCAAAAAAGAGGTGGTGTTCTCATGAAACTGTTCCTGAAGGCTTCAAAGGTAGGCCCCTATAGGGTACTGACTCTATCATTGCCCATATCCGACAAAGATAGGCTCTGCCTTTTCCAGATCAGACGAGGTTTCTTAAAAATGTGTCCTATTCGTATGGGGGTGGGGTTTGAAAAGGTAATGTGCTTATGAAGATTCGATCACCTGATCGTATCCAGTTAATCTGCAAAGCCAGTTGCTGTTTGAGTGAATTCCAAACACCACAACAGGATATAGGCTCTAATCATATCACAGGTGATCGCGTGGTAGCCATAACAACTCCATCAGCGGGGATGTTGATGAAAGATGAACAAGTTCATATGGCTTCTTAGAGGGTATTTCAGAGGTATTTTCATATAATCTGTAATACCAACAAAATGCGATAGTCTCTGAAATGCGCTTGATCAATGGCTAATTCTTATATGTATTTGTTTGCTTGTTTACTTACTTTATCTATTACTTCGAGCAAAATTACGCGAAAAATAACCCAGACCATGTCAATACAAAGCAAAGACACCTAGGTCTTGTTCAAGGGAATATAACAAGATACCTCTCGTTACTACCTCAACATTAGAACAATATTTTCATTCAAAGCTTGGTAGAAGTGGCACAGTGGCTCGGGGCGCTGTTCACACCGATAGCATTGATGGTACGAGATAATCGTCTATTAGGAGGAGACGAGAAAGAACGGTAGGTAAGGGATCGGCTAGACTCCACGTGATCAGCCTCAATGTTCAGTACCAATATAGGACCTAGAAAGTCTAAGTGATGTGTTCATGCCATTTTCAATTAAATTTGACCGATAAAAGGTAAGCACGAAGTTCCCAGCCTTAATTGGTTCGTTACGCTTAAGCACCCTGCCACGGCATCCTTTCGAATTCCTTATGAAGTTTGAATGTCGAAATGGTCCAGGCATTGACCAACGCTTCCAACATCTCAAATGAATTGATGCCACTTCGATCATCCCGGCAAGGTGAGAGGTCTGGTTGTCGTATGCGCATACTGAACAAGGATATAGCCCTTCAATCATACGTGTAGCAACGACGTCACTTGGCACTTCTCCACATCCGCCCCATTTTCCACTGTATAGTCTATTAACCTTGTGCTGAGCCATGCATTTCTGAGAGTTGGGCAATTCTGAGAGTCACTGAGTAACAATTAGCGTTTAGTCATATCGTGGTCAAGTGAGTGAGGAAAGGGAAGAAGGAAATGGCTTGATTTCCTCCTTGAATCCTCATTTTTAAATGAAAGCATTCTATTCCGAAAATTACGAAAGGTGAATACGGTTCTCCATGCTCATTTGCTGTATTTCATTACTACGAAACTCTTACTTCTAACAGTCCTAGAACACTCTCCTCTTTCCATGTATCTCTGTCATTCTTAGGAGGGAACTCTTATCAGGTCTTATGCAGTAGTGACAGATCAAAAAGACGTACTAATGCCAAATGGTAGTTGGTTCTACTCTTGAGATACTGACGGGTAACAAAATCGATTTGATTCAATTTCCAAGTTCATTTTATCTATTGTTATGGTATGAAAAGGGTGATAGTCTCAGCGGCTCCATTGGGTACTGCTGGAAACTGCTCAAGGCAAAGCTCCCTCAGATGGTATGATCTTTTTCTAGCACGGACAAGACAGCGTTTGTAGGATCGTATTCAGCGTACCCGAAAAACGATCTAAAGAACGACAAAAGCAGCATTATTTTGATACCTCGCATGAGGACTTGAAATTAGTTGGCATTCATCCCATTCATTCTAAGGGAGACACAAGAAAAGGAGACCCTCAATCTGGAACAAAGGCTGATGAATAGCAAGAAGGAGATCAGAACATGACGTGGGCAATGCATTAATAAGACCGACTTGCTTGATAGCAAGCCTATAAACTTGATGAAAACCTGAGTAACCGATGCTTACAGTTTCCCAGTAGCATGAAAAGTTTAGCAACATTGGTAGGTAATGAGCACTAAGCTTGTTTGGAGGCTTTGGTCAAAATTGAATCCACATCGCTTTTTATGAGAATGGCTTCCACTTCAGAAGCTACTTTCTCAAAATTCGTTTTTGTTTTCTTTTTTTGCTGGTAAATTTTGCTACTGTGAGCTTTGAATAGGAGCTTTTTGAAATCGTTGTTCATGGCATCATAACCTTCCATTTCCTCCTTTTAATAGACTCGGGCCTTCGGGGCTATCGTTCTGCGAACGGAGCCTTTCTTCAAAGAGACGCTGCTTATTCAATTTGCCCAAGCTAATCTCCAAATGAACTCGGTGAGCTATGAAAGCAAGTTGATTTCAGTAACTTGAAAACCTTCACAGACATATCAATGCTGTGCGTTGAAAGAGTGGAAGGAAAACTAAATACAAACTGCTCTCCCGTGATGAGCCATGCATTCGGTTTCTGGTCAGAATCATTCAATCCTTTCAGTGTACATACCTTTCTGAAAATGGTGAAAAATAGCTTGATATAGGTCAGTTTTGGTGCTCTCGCAACTCCACAGCTGTCCCAGTTGATTGCTTGGCAGGTGCAATTATTAGGTCTGTCCAGCGACCTTGTCGGGATCCGATCCCCAGATATATGCAATGATTTCTACACCACTGAACTATTTCCGCTTCAAAATCTGTTTGTATATGACATTTATACGTAGAAACAATTGAGCCCTCCAGTTTTCAGCTGAATACTGCAACACATCGTCTACAAACTTCCGCCTGTCAGTAATCCTTTCTGCAGTGGTCTTGGCTGCTATGGGCCGGTTTTTATACTGAGCTTCACATGGATTTTTCTTATTAATTTTTTATTTGTATTTTTTCTAATTAAAGGCATGATGATAACTGTACTACGTGTTTTGCTTGAATAAATGCTGTATCGTAGATGTTCATAAGCCGTTCGGGACTTCTGGCTTAGCCGAAGGATAATCTCACAAGCGGATTCTCCCTATGGCCTATGATGTGTCCCGTTCCACGGCGACAAACGAGGGGAGGAGCGAAGCAGTGGTATTATTGCTTACAGGCTCGTGTCGAGCAGGCATTCCCCCCTCCGTTGCATGTTCAGATGCTGTTTCAGAGGTTCTAATTAGAGAGTGGCTCCCACATGCTTCCAGGAGTGGTGGTAACTACTTACTCTTACTTTTCAATGGTTTTGTGCTCTGATGAAGAAAGCACGTCGACTGCACTTTCTTTGAATTCTTTTTCTTTTCTGACAAACGACATCGAAAAAGTTGCGAATTTCTTTGAACAAGTGAAGGTCCTTTCTTTTTTGACAGTAGATTTGATAAAGTGAGGGAGGTTCCCCAACAGAAAGAACCTTGTCCTCGAAAATCCAGGGTTTCCAACTTTTCGTCTTCTCATTCAAGCATGGGATGTCTAAGAAACCAGGGTGAAGTTGCTACTTGAAATCTAGTGTTCCTAAGCAGATCCACCCGCGCGCTACCCAAGCCTCTCCCAAGCTTATCCAAGCTCTAGGCTTAGATGACATGCTGATGGACTGGTTGAGGTAGATTTCCCCGAAGTGAATACATGCTAAATAGGCATATAACAAAGTGGTGAAGGACCTTTCCAATACCATTTAGTAGCATTTGTCAGTAATAATTATCTTCAATCTTTCGTAGTTGGAAATGTTCCCAATTCCTAATCCCTACCTGATTACTTCCCATATTCGAATTGACGTTTGAATAATGCTCCTTTCCCTTACCAGTCATCTATGGGTGATAATCTTAGGACCACCCCTTGAGCGGCAACTATCACTAACACTTTTCTGAATAGCTCTAGTAAACCAGTAAAAGGGCGGAGGAGCAGTGTGATAGCTGATCCTGGGTGATAGAACTGCCCGCTTCCTTCAGGGCTCAGGTATTCTATGAGAACAGGTGCACGATGAACAGGTATTAAATGAGACCATTTCTCATAGATGGATCTGTCCCCTGTCCCAGGTAATATTGGATTGGAATGAAGCGATCTTCCAGCTGATTGAAGAAGATTCCTGACCCTCTTGGCCTTTCCCCATCCACAATACCCTCAAATTAGGCCCTGTCTCTGAACTTGAGAGCCCTATTACTCCTCCTAGTTGGAATCTTTACATTTTCCCATGGTGCCATGCAATGCAAAGATCTCAGAAAGGAGCAATGCATTCGTACGAATTGGAGGAGCTTTCATCACTCTCAAAGTCTTCCTTGAAGACCTCGGAACCGATTTTTGGCGAAAACTGCTTTCATTTTTCAGAAGATCTGAAAAAGAATATCGCGCCTGAATTAGTCTCACAATTAGATGTCTAATTTTCCAATGTAGCATTGATTTCCCACCTTTCCCGTTTTCTTCGATATCTCCCTCATCATCATACCCAATTAGGGGAAACTATACACTTTGAGACAAGCTATCAAGTTTCAAGGCGCCTTTCTGACATTAATGCTCAAACTGCTGGTGAGCAGCTCCTCAATTCACTAATTTACTAGTTTTACTCGATTATTATTGTAATTACCTCATTATTCAAAGAATAAAATCATTTCAGGATCTATTTAATAGCTTGACTCAGAGTTCCACATATTAAATACAACTAGGTAGATTCACTAAGATCAACTTCGTGGGGAATACTGGCTACCTTCTTTGATTCTGGGTTATTCCTTCATTGGAGCTTCTATCTAACGAACTGATTTAATTCCTTTTCGAGAAGACATCTTCTGTGAAACATTCTCCAGGAGATCATATTAATTCGGTTTATTACTGCACGAATAGAGGGTCTCTTATGCATCAAAATGCACCTTACCCATGAATGAGCCCCGTTCTTCGGAACTGAGTTGCTTCACAGGGACGCTATCGTGCACGCATGGTCGCGAGTTCAAACCAGGATCGATGGGCCAGCCAAACATTCCATCCCTTCTGGGTCGATTAATCGGTACCAGACTCTTCAAGGATGGTAAAAGCACTGTTTTGTACATTGACTGCCCACCGCAAGTCATTGTATAGGCGGCGCATCTTACAGACGGGTTCAATCAACGCCCAAAATCTTTATTCTTCATTCCTATATGAAAGCAGGCTCGACTTGAATCGGTGTTTTTGGAGGACAAATTAGAATGATTTACTACCCACCTTACTTCTTCTTTGAATTTCACTGTAAATTTTGAGGTCAACTGGCCTTACAAATCCCTCACCTACCCTCCACCCGGCAAGCTAAACCCATAGAATTTCAAAAAAGTTACTATTGGGTACATTCCAAGAGTTTTCAGAAGCATTTCAAACCTATTGTCGCGCGGCAGAAAAAGCCACGCCCATTATTGTTCGTCTGCGCTCTCTTAAAGAGACAATTTACGCATACAGTTGCATGAGGATTCCAGAGCGTTATCGATCAATATCATTCATTATTGAGGATTATTAAGGATCATTATTCATGAAGTCCCAATACCCCTTCGAAGCGAATTTTGAGATACCACTGGAATGATTATTTTCGTGAACCTAAAAATCTCGATGACCACAAAAGCCTTCTTTGCAAGAGAGCGCAGACGAGCAGAGGAATGGCGTCATATTGCAGCATCGCCGACTGCAGCTTTTGCATCTCAAAAGGCTTCTTAATTATCTCCAAACGTTTCTGCATAAGTCATTACCGTCGCTAAGGGTTTTTCTCAGTCGCCGTGTAAGCAAGAGGTTCTGCGGAGGATTTGCCCAACGTTTCCGGCATATTCGGTTTCCTCCAATTTCTCCCACTCCCCATAACTTCCTTTACTCCTCACTGAGGTTAGGTTTTTTTTTATCATGGATATAGTCTTTGTTTATACGAGTGTTTACCGTAGTAGGTTATTATGAATTTGCTCCATCGTCCGCTGTTTTCGATTTAGTTTTCCTAGTTACCACCCACTTAGTCTAGACCTTGTTCCCGTGGTCTGCTCTGCTATAGCAGAGTTTTGTTTGGATGTTCTAAAAACCGTTTGTAACCTTTAACGCAGGCATACTTATAGGATTCTTATGATATGTTTACAACACCGAATACGAAGTCGTAATGGCGCATTATCACACGCGCATGGCCACGGGTTCGAATCCCGGATCGATATCCTCCTAGGCCAACAAGGCCTCCCATCCCTTCGCAGTCGGTTAACTGGCACCAGACTCATCTGAGAGGACAAAAGCACTGACTTATACATCAGCTGTCCACCGCGATTCATTGTATGGGCCCCATACGCATTCAGTACGCCACCACGATTCTAAATGGAAGACGAATGCGGGGCACATCCGTTCGACGGGATTGATGAACGCCCCAAGACTTCACACTTTCACCTAATGCTTGGTTCGTGAAAGTTACTTGAAGTAATGTATTGAGCCTCAGAGACGATTACATGGAGTAATTGGACTTTCCTTGCAATCCATCCTGCCCTTCTCACATTCCATGTATATCGAGCTCATCAGAAGCACCGTTCTGTTGCTTGCAACTTGTAATCCAACTCCAAACTCACTTTGTTAGGGATTTTCAGCAGTTTCACGTGATCTGGGACAAATGAGACACCGAGGCTTAGCCAATTCTCCGTGCCACTGCCATAAACCAAAGTGCTTCTTTACTTGGGAAAGCAGTAAAAGTGTCGCCTGCGGAACCTTCTTCATAAATATTGATCGGCCTTTTTGGGATGCATCACCCATATCACATTCCCATTGAAATTCTTTACCAACCTACTCAACCAGCACAACAACCTCCACTTGATGGGATGATGTTCACTTCCAATCATTCCATACAAGTCACGCTCACGATGGCCACTGGGTTATAATTTAGTTGATTGGCTTAAAAGGGAAATGATCCATGAACTAGGTTCCTATTTAATGTCAGGTTTTGCGAGAGTATCCGGAGA